TATCCTCTCTCATTTCCCCCCACTTTGACTATGGCTGTGTGGTGTACGGAGGCATCCCGATGGTACTCGAGGATAGATTGAAGCGACTCATGAATACGTGCTTAAGATTTGTCTTCGGTACATCGAGGCGGTCTCATGTGTCCCACCTTTACGAAGAGTTTAAGTGGCTCTTCCCTTCTTTCCGCAGACAATATTTCCTTGGATCTTTCCTATTCCAAACGATCAACACCCGACACCCTTCCTACAGTTTAAACCCGTGGTCCACTCCCAGAAAACAAGATCCCGTGTTTCCGACCTTTATATCCCTTCCCATAGAACTAAGACGTTTGAATATTCCTTTATTGCCCGATCCACTGCCTTCTGGAATTCCTTACCTTCTGAAATCCGCCATGCCTCTTCCTTGTCCTCATTTAAATATCATCTTTACCAATTCCTTCTCACATCCCAAAATGACATTATACAATAAAATAAATACTGAGAAACAGATTTTGACTGAGGCGAATGGTTGTAAAAATTGATAGTTTTTAATGTTAAAAATCAACCCATGTTTATTTTATTTTGTTCTCTTTTCATTTAAATAATGTTTTTTTGTTTTCTTTTTGTGTTATTTTTACTTGTTTTAATTTAATTTTACTGAAGATACTATGTATTCTTTAACATTGACTAATGTAATTTTTGGCCAGATGTAGTTTTTATTTTTTGTTCATATCTGTTATTCAAAAGGGACCTTGTCCCAGAATAAAGTTTTCTTTCTATCTATCTATCTATATCTACCTGGCAACACTATTTTTTTTTGTAACCTTCTTAATAACATTTTCATCTATTAATTAATGCCAGTATGTGCAATGTGATAATTGATTTATTTCAGAAGTAAATTTTCGTTTTGTTTACATTTTGTTCCTTTTTCATCATCCCCAAATTTCCAGAACTCTAACATATTATGGGACCAGTTAATGCAAACTAAAAAAATTTTAACTAACTTTAATGTGAAAAGTGAACTTGTTAAGGAAGTTTGTTTTACTTACCTTTTTTTTCTCTCCAAGTAATCAAGTAAGCAAGCACGTTTCCTTTACTTTACTTACAACGTCTACCACAAGTACAGGTGTTCCTTTAAGTTTTGAAAAATTAGAAGGTAGCAGTTGATGTAGTGACTGTAAATTCACCTAATCAACTGTGATTTGTGGGATGACGTACAAAAAAAGGTAACTCATTAAAAATTGGGGCAGAAGGCCATGGCAGCAATAGTTTCTGGTGTAAAATCGCACATTTATGCTGATATTCGAGAATTGAAAACTGGTAATGAGGTATGGAAGAGTCTTGAAGAAATATATGAACCAAAAGGTTTGTCGCGTGTAGCCTCTCTTATCGAGCAATTAGTAAATATACGAAACACACATTGTAAGGATATGGCGGGGTACATAAATAAGAAGGTGAAGTTGGCTCAACAGCTAAAATCAATTGACCACGAAATCAAGGATAGTTTCCTTGCTGCATTGATTTTGGGAAGTTTGCCAGATCATTTCAAACCTCAAACCCTTGAAAATTGTGGGGCCACTCTTATGCACGAAGATTTCGCAATGACTTTGGACGATGTTCTTTCCCAACCAGATTCTGAAAACTGGAAGATGGCCATCAAAGAAGAGTATGATTCACTTTTCAGAAATAATTCTTGGGAACTTGTTGATTGCTCTAAGGACCACAACATAATCAAGTGTAAATGAGTATTCCGAAAGAAATAAACACATAAAAACATAAAAAGTTCACATGTCGGATTATAAACCACAGAGAACTCCAACGGAATATGGTCTGAAGATTCTGATGAACCTTATCGAACTGCTGTTGGATCACTGATGTATGCTGCCAACTGTACAATACCAGATTTATCTTTTGCAGTGGAGACACTTAGCATAAATGACACATCGGTCATATCTAAAGAGAATTTTTGGTATCTCCAAGGTACCAGCGATGGAAGGCTTTTGTGTTCAGAAAATCTGAGAACCCAATTCATGGATATGCAGACTAGGATTTTCCCGATGACCAAATGGACCACATATCTGTTACTGGATACGTGTTTCTGCTTTCATCAGGAGCTGTTAGCAGGTCAAGTAAGAAGCAACCGTATCCCAGCATCAAGAAGCAACTGTAGCTCGATCTAGTACAGATGCAGAGTACATATCTATCTGAAATGCAACTCAGGAAGCTCTGTGGCTGAGGATGGTACTCCTTGAGCTTGGCGAATTGAAACCTGACATGACGATCAACATCAAATGAGACAACAATGAAGCTGATGTCCTCACAAAAGCCTTACCCATTGAGAAACATCACTGGAGTACAACAAAGATGGGACTGGTGTTCAATCCCATGCGCCAAGTTGGAGACCAATGCCGCATGCGTAGGAGAAGGGGAGGTTATTAACAATGACTATCACCAAACAATATTGTAAATCTACTTGGTAACACTGTTTTTTTTTTTTTTGTAACCTTCTTAATAAATTTTTCATCAGTTAATTAATACCAGTATGTGTAGTGTTATAATTGATTTATTTCAGAAATAAATTTTGATTTGTTTACATTGTGTTTCTATTTCATTATCACCAAATTTCCAGAACTCTAACATCACTCTTTATTTTGTTACTGTATTAGTATTGTACTGTTAGTGATAAGCCTTAATAAATCATTACATATACCAATTTTTTTTTAATATTAATTAGGTAATCATAAGTACATTTTACATTATTTTCTTCTATCTAATTTATACATCATAAATTAATTGAAATAAGTAACATTATACTTAACTTTAAATTCTTAAACTGTTCTGACAACCAATTTATAAGTTATAATATAATAACATAACATTAAATATAATTTAATCCTATAACAGTTATATATGATTTCTATTAGTTGTAATTTATACTTATTTCACTTCATATGCTCAATCTTTCAGCTAAAAATTTGTAATTGCATATATCTTATTAACCATTGCAACCTCCACAGCACTCGATCAATTAAAAATGTAAAAATAAATACCGATAAATCATTTTTGTAATTTTAGGTCATTTTTACTGGCAAATTTTAGATATAGCCATAAGAATCTTTGTTAAATAGACTCTGAACATTATTTATTTAGATTTTGGTGTTTTAAAGTATACTTTATATTCCACACGAGAGTATTTATTGAGAGAATCAAATATCCTTATATTAATTTTATCTAGAAGGAATTTTAAAAAATAGTGCAAACAAGTTTTAAAAAATTGACACAGATTTAATGAAAATTATATTTTCAGAAGAGTATTTACAATTTTACTATTCAAATATAAATATACCTGTATTCTACAAGCAGAACGTAAATGATCAAACCTGAAACACAATAGACTAAAGTAAAAATCAAATAGACGAACTATAACAGTATTGAAAAAAATGTTGAAACAATCCTATACCCAAGTATTTTCTAAGAGAAAAAACAAGATTTAAAATTAATACAAATATACCAACAGCCACATTGCAAAAACCTATAAGTGCAAAACATTTAATTATTTATAAGAGGAATTAAAAGGTATATTTTTTATTTTATGACTAGATTAATTAATTAGATAGTTTAATTTTTACATGATCAAGACAAAGATTGACTGCTTACAGCTCTTTGCAGCTTGACTGTCGATAGAATGAAAGGAATATTACCAAAGGTATCTAAATAAAATTTAACTATTACTGTTTATGAATGGATAAACTATCTTTCAATAATATTTTTATAGAAATACATTATATAATAACAGAATGTGGAAAGAAATGGGTTTGTTTAGAATTCACAACCAAATTATACAACATACTACAATTGGTCTGGGAGCAGAAAACAATCTTCCCTCTCACCTATGAAAATTTAAGAAAATTATAGTAAAAACAAAGTATAGTAAAAACTCAGATTAACTGTACTGCTCAGTTATGTGAATAAACAGATAACAGAAATGCCATTTGGAAAATGCTTTAATCTATTAATAGTAATCTCTACTAAGTAATAAACACTAATACTCCAATTTTAGTATTGAAATAAATTAAAACAGTTTGCAACCCAAATACATTTGTTATTAAATGATAGTTATAAAATCATATGGTTTGCTACTAAGTATTACCTATTGAAATTTGTTAATGACAAATTTTGTATTTTTGCGGTGATTTGCCTAGTTTCTTATGATCAATTTGTAATATATTTAGTGAACTATGTGTTAGAGACCAATGGCACATGTGAAGGAGAAGGAGGGTTATTAACAATGACTATCGCCAATCAATATTATAAATCTACCTGGAAACACTTTTCTTTTTTTGTAACCTTCTTAATTACTTATTCATGTGTTAATTAATGCCAGCATTTGAAGTGTTGTAATTGAATTAATTTTCGTATTGTTTACATTGTGTTTCTTTTTCATCACCAAATTTCCAGAACTCGTTATGGTCCACCGTTATGGTTATGGAACAGGTTATGGGTCCAGTTAATGCAAACTAAAAAATTGTAAATGAGGTTTTACTTGATAACCAAAATTATGGTGAGAGATAAATTTATTATGGGTATGGGCAGAGGTATAATAATGGATAGACTCTTCGAAGAAGACATAATCTCTCTAAGCATTGAGAAATCATTGGAAATAGCTTTAAACAAAGAGGCTACCTCACATTTGTATGATATGGGAGATGATAGCTACCGAATTCGGGAAGATTGTCATGCGCGGAGAGTTATGATATTTCTGTAATTCATTATATTGAGGAAGTTAGTTTTACTTACCTTTTTTTTCTCTAAGTAATCAGGTAAGCAAGGACGTTTCCTTTAATTTATTTACAATGTCTACCAGGAGTAAAGAGGTATTCCTTTGGTTTTGAAAAATTAGAAGGTAGTAGGATCATTGCAGTCCATAGCGACTGGAAATTCGCAATAGAAGTTCACCTAATCAACTGTGATTTGTGGGATCACGTACGAAAAAAGCAACTGATGAAAAGTTGGGACACAAGGCCATGGCAGCAATGGTTTCTGGAGTCAAGGAGAGGCTCTTGGTAGAAGCCAATAAGTACGAATCTCCGAGTGAAACTGCCTTGTTCTCAAAGCCTAACATGGGAAGATTGGCTCACATCAAGTGTTATAATTGTAGCCAGTTTGGGCATTATGCCAATAAGTGTCTTAAACCTTCAAGAACAAACCAGAATATGGATAGCAGTGGGGAACACTCCATCGACCAGGGTCTTGTTCTGGAAAAATCAATTTTAGCAACCGGAGCTCTTGATCCCAATGAGTGGTACATTGATTCGGGAGCAATGATCCATGTAACAAGGAGAAAGGATTGGTTGACCAACATTAGAGAACCAAATATAAAATCGGTTACTACGGCTGCGGGTGAAAAATTACTGTAGTAGGGGATACAGAGGTTTTGTTCGAAATTAATGGCAAAGCTATGATGACTCCTATCAGAAATGTGAGCTATGTTCCCAGTCTTAGATATAACCTGATTTCATGTGTCGAACTTGTTCGGAAAGGACTATGGACAACATTTGAGAATGAGGAGAGGTGTGAGATTATTAACCGAGATACTGGTGATGTCATCGCTGAACCGGATTGAACTTTCCAGCCATGTTCTGCAACAAAATTTGTAGAGATTGTGTTTTTGGCAAGGATGCCGAAAAACCATTTCCTTCAGGCAAAGCACATCAGGCAAATGAAGGCTTGGAGTTAATCCATACTGATCTTAGTGGGCCTTTGAAAATGAATTTCATGAGTGGAAAACACTACTTCATCATCTTCACATATGATAAAACTAGTTTTCATTTATTTCTTAAAATACATAGATGGAGCCTTAGCAAAATTTAAGGACTTTAAGAATGGTGCAGAGAACAAGAGAAACAAAAAAAATCGTATTTTTAGGTGTCTAAGAATGGAAAAGAATTTGTCAACAAAGCCTTTGAAGATTTTTGTAATGAAAATGGTATTAAGAACCAGAGATCAATCGACTATATTCCACAGCAAAATGGTGTCTTCTTTGGGCGAAGTTGCCTGCCAAGTACTGGGCGGAGGTTGTGAATACTACCTATTACTTAAAAAATATAAGGCCCACAATAGCAGTTAACAACATGACACCATTTGAAGCGTGATCAAATACCAAATGTTCCTAACTGTAAGCGAAGTAAGTGGAACCCAAAATCCAAGGAATATCTATTCACTGGATATTGCTATAATTCTAAAGCATATAGACTGATCGACCCTTCTACTGGATGTGTCACAAAATCCAGATACGTGTTTTTTGATGAAAATTCTTTCAAAGAGAGCACCACAGAAAACTTGGATGACCCTAATATGGCTGATTTTTATGGAAATTATGAGCTCTCCCAACTTCCAACAGGATTGCAGATTGCAGAATCGGACGACCAGCAAAAATATGAAGAAGATCCATCTGAAGACAACTTTAAAGAAGATTTATTATCATCGCGTAGTTCACCTTCTGTATCTGAACTGCCAAAACGTGAACTACCTCAGAGAATGCGGAAATTTTGGAGTGTTTGGAGGATTTCGCAATGAGTGTTGCAATCTCCATTGATTCTTCAGATGATTCAATGACTGCGGATGATGCTCTTTCCCAACAAGATTCTGAAAACTGTAAGATGGCCGTCAAAGAAGAGTATGATTCACTTCTCAGAAATAATACTTGGTTGATCACCCTAAGGACCACAACGTAATCAACTGCAAATGGGTATTCCGAAAGAAATATGATGGAAACTCAGAAAAGATTGGTTATACAACCGGACTTATTGTGAAGGGATGTTCTCAAATCTATAGTCTAGATTACGAAGAAACGTTTTCACCAGTAGTAAGGATTACCACTTTACAAATCTTGCTTGCCCTGGCTGCATTGCATTCATGGATGGTTGAACAGATGGAGGCTTTCGTCGGAACAAAACGAAGAGATCTATGTGTATCATCCAGAAATGATAGAGAATGGTAAAGTAAAGACTGAATTCAATAAAGTTTGCAGATTGAAAATATCAGTGTATGGCTTGAAGTAAGCCAGCCGACTATGGTATGAGAAGTTTGAGTCAGTGATGACAAAACTTGGATTTAAAAAAGCTCTATTCGATCCTTGTGTATTCTATACATTCGATTACGACTTAGTTTTCATAATTGCATTGCATGTAGATGAACTTTACTAACAAAAGAAACAACCTACTGTAGCCTGATCTGCTACAGAGGCGGAGTACATATCTATCTCAAATGCGACTCAGAAAGCTCTGTGGCTGAAGATGGTACTCGTTGAGCTTGATGAATTGAAACCTGACATGACGATCAACATCAAATGTGATAACAATGGAGCTGTTGACCTCACCGAAAACTCGACTCACCATAGCAGAACAAAACACATCGACGTGCACCATCATTTTGTTCGAGAAGCTGTGAAGAATAGACAAGTTTTGGTGCTTAAGGAATCCACTGAATTTATGGTGCCTGATGTCCTCAGAAAAGCCTTACCAAGAGTAAACATCACTGATGTACAACGAAGATGGGACTGGTGCTCAATCTTACGCGCCAAGAGGAAGTGTTGGAGACATGCTGAATGTGTAGGAGAAGGGGGATTTATTAACGATGATTATCGCCAATCAATATTGTAAATCTTGTTAACATAGTGTTTCATTTTCTTACCTACCAAATTTCCAGAACTCTAACACTATAGTATCAAATAAAATAAGTGTTAAAGGTAAAAGGAGGAAAACAAGAATTTCTAAGATATTTAAGGCCAAGGTGGAGAAAGGTAAAGAACTAAATTTAGAGGCTAGACCAAGTGATACAGGTGAATGGCATCTAGTATCTCCGAGCAAGGCAGTTTCCCAAAGACCAGCAGGAACTACTGATTCAGAGAGAAAGGTTAGTTTCCAACAAATCCCTTAGCTGTTATACCAACTGAGGTCGATGCTCAATGTCATAATACTACTCAAGCCAGTAAAGATGTGACATTAAAATCCCCAGCAATCTAGGTAAAATCGGTGAGTAACTACATACTGTTATGCGAAGAATTTATCAAAGAGGTAGGTTCACCTTGAAATCTGGAGCTAATAACATTGTTATAATGTTGAATTCTTCAGATTCCTACAGGCGAATATCGAAGTACCTCAAAGATAGAAATATAGAGTTTCACACCTACCAACTTCCTGAGGACCGCCCTTTTCGTGTCCTCATATGGAACCTGCATCATATTATAGGTTGTGGTTTAATCAAAACAGAACTAGAAGAATTAGGTTACCAAGTATTAGGTGTACAAAATATTCTACATCCTAGAACAAAAGCGACTTTGACAATATTCTTCATTGAGTTAGACAAAAATGATAATAGAAGTTTCCAAATTTCCTCATTATAATTTCTCTATCACATAAAAATCATAGTTGAATAACTGAGAAGACATAATGAAATTGTCCAATGCAAGTGGTGCCAATCCTACAGACACACCAAATCATACTACAATTTGAAGCCGAGATGTGAAAAGTGTGCCAGGACACATCTGTCATCGAGTTGCAAGAAATCTCTAGACTCACTGCCTAAATGCGTACTTAGTTATGAAGCTCACTTAGCGAACTATAAAAGCTGCCCTGTGCACAAGGAATTGAAAAAACTTTGACAATGCCCAGCAATGAGAAGCCTTGAATTTTATGAGAAACAGGGGATGCCAGCCAGCTTCCAAAGAAAGAAAAAGAAGACTCTTTGAAAATTGCCCAGAATTCAGCAGGTAATCTTGAGCCACTGTTACAACCACTACTCAACTATGTACAGGCACATAACATTGCTAAAGAGCCCACTTACATAAATTGGCAAAACCAAATGACACAATGATATCTAACTTCAACCAAATAACATCTCTAAAGTCCCAAACATTACAACACAACTCGAAAACTTTATAAATGCATTTAAAAACCTAGTATCGCCCCTGATATCATTGCTAACACCGCTGGTACAGCATTTTCTTCCAAAGCTTACCAAATGAAAGGACTAAAAGTAACTTTGCAATGCCAATGGTTTATTATCACGTAAAAATGATCTCATAATTTTTCTTAATCAGAACGCCATAGACACTTTACTGGCTGAGACTCACTTTAAAAGAAGTATGAGGTTTCACTTACCGTCTTATATCACTTATCGGACTGATCATCCTTCAAACAGAGTTAAGGGAGGAACTCTCATTATAGTAAAGAACTCAATCAGTCACCACTTCAACGCTTCTCAGACGTGTGAGAGTATCCAATGCACTTTAATAGTGGTTAATGTATTTTATCTTAATCTTACTACAATAGCAGCTCTTTTTTTATCAATCCAAACATTTAACGAGTTGTTGCATTCTTTGGGTAAAAGTTTTTTATGTGGTGGAGATTACAACGCTAAGAACCAGGTATGGGGTAGCAGAATTAGTAACTCTAAGGGGAGAGCCCTTCAAAACACGATTCTTGCTCAGAATTGTAAATGCTTATCGCCATCTTCACCGACCTATAGGCCCACGGATGCTAACAGGATTCCAAACGTTTTGGGTTTTTTCATTGCCAAGAGAATAAATGCACAGCATTGTGCCATTACTAATTTGACTGACTTATCTTCAGACCATACTCCCCTTCTTCTGACAATAGATTTAAAACCTATAATCAAAACTCCCCGACCGTCGCTAAAACCTGAAAATATTGACTGGAACAAGTTTAGATCATCCATTGAAAATTCATTTTCACCCAACACTAATATAAGAACGCCTGAAGACTTGGCCGACACAGTTCATCACTTAGCATAAACCATACAAAATTTAGCATGGGTTTCTAACATTTCTAATAAAAAGACAGACAAATCTGACCATAATTACACTCCACCAGAGATAAGATGTCTCATCAAACAAAAACGAAAAACACGTAAAAATATGGTAAAGAACTCATAACCCATCTGAGAAATACAAATTTTTTACAAACTAAGTCGACTGCTTCACGAAGAAATAAGACCTACAAAGATGGAAAATTTTGACAACTTCTTCAATAGATTAGCAGCTTGTGAGAAACCACGTTGGAGTATGTCCAAAGGATGCTCCAGCACCATGCTGTCTCTCATTCTCTCAAGCATCCTGATGGTTATTGGGCATGTCAGATGCTCAAAAAGCTCAATTGTTTCCTCGCCACCACAAAGAAACATTTAAACCTCATGATGATATAAATGAAAAACTCTCTACAACAATTGTTCAAAGTCAACTTAACGTACCCTTACCTATGACATTACCATCAAAATCAATTCATCCTTACGAAGTTCAAAATTTAATTCAGAGCTTGCCTATGAACAAAGCTCTGGAATTTGACTTAATTACGAATTTCATCATTAAAAATTTACCCTAGAAAGCAATCCTTTTTCTAACAAATATATATAATTCTGTTCTGAGAATCACCCATTTCCCAACCCTCTGGAAATATTCTGAAGTTATCATAGTATTAAAGCCTAACAAATCCTCAGACTCCAATACAAATTCCTATCGTCCAATCAGCCTTCTTCCTTCCTTTTCTAAATTATTTCAAAAGATTATTCTTCGTCACCGTGATTCTCTTGATATATTTAAATGTATTCCAAATCATAAATTCGGTTTCAGAAAGCATCATTCAACTGTTCAACAATGCCATCGATTGGTAGATTATATTTCTAATTCTTTAGAATATAAAAATTAATATCCTGAAGTTTTCTTGATATTAGTCAAGTCTTCGATAAAGTTTGGCATGAAGGATGAAGATTGCTTTCTAAACTTAAAATTTTACTTCCTCTCTGACCTACTATCTAATACTACTCTCATATTCAAAGGAAAAACATTTTGAAGTAAAAGTAGGGACAGAACATTCTGACATTAAATCTATTAAAGCAGGAGAATCTCAGAGTAGTGTCCTTCGACCAATATTGTTTAATATACCTAGTTCTGCCATATAGGTATGAATGTGTTTTATATATTTTAATTTCATTTAGCTTTTCTCTATTTTTTTCTTTCCTCTTTTTTTTTTTTTTTTTTTTTTGTCTTTACCTATGTTATCATTTGTATGTATATATTGTGTGAATGTTTAATGTAGCCCTAATATTAATGCCCTCCAATGCGGCAGAATGTATTATTTTTCAAATAAAAAAAAAAAGTTCTGCCATAAATACCATTATAAAAGTTGAACTTTGTTTACATTCTTGAGTATTATTTAGATAATCCTTATCTCTATCAGGTTATTTTCTTTAAATGTCAGGATAATAAACCCAATTAGTTTGTATTTTTCTTTTGCTCAGTTAAAATGGAGTGGGGTAATAAAGAAAATGGAATAGCTGTGATCGTCTTACACAAAGTTGGAAAATGCAGGTCAGAGATTTTCAACACTTTAAAATCTTTGGGTATTAGCAGTATGTTCGTATACCGCACTATTAATAGATATAATGGAATCCTATCTGTACGTGACAGACTTCGACCGGGCGGTCGTCCCCGCACTGTGAGCAGTGGATGCTCGAATCAGAAGAAATCCCATTTGAAAACAAGAAATCATGTCTCGGGAAATGGGAATCTTTGTTGGATCAATGTCTCGCATGATAAAAAGAGACCTTAGGATGGGTACATTTCCAAGAATGACAGGACAAAGGCCAACAACCACTTCCCTAAAAAAAATTAGAGTGGATAGATGAAAAGTGCTTCTTGGCCATTACACCAATGGTTTTCATCAGAAGATTTTGTTTAGTGATGAGAAAATTTTTACAATAGAAGAAAAATTTAATCACCAAAATGATCGCACACAACTCCAAAGAAGCCTAGGAAGTCATTGGTAGAGTGGAAAGAGGTCATCACCCTTCCTCAGTAATGGTTTGGTGGGGAGTTTGCTTTGATGGCATTACAAAGCTCCATTTTTGTGAAAAAGGAGTTAAAAAAGCGGCTAAAAACTATTAGGACAATATTTTGGAACATGTTGTCAAGCCTCTAAATGGTACTCTGTTTGCTGGAAGTCATTGGATTTTCCAGCAGGATTCCGCTCCAGCTGGTAAGGCCAGGTCAACTCAGCAGTGGCTGCAAAAAAACATTCCATTGTTCATCTTTGCCTCGGATTGGCCCTCAGGAAGCCCTGATCTCAACCCACTAGATTATCAGCTTTGGTCCGAAAAATGTTTTGCCACTACGCATCTCTCTCCTCCTCTACCCACCCTCAAACTTATCTTAGATCTTAGATAGTAATTCATCCTGGAGAGCTCAAGCCCTCATTACAATGAGCAACAATAAAAAATGAGAATGGTAATAGACTATTCTCAAACCAGAAACAGATTTACTCTCCTCGACGCTTATCCCCTTCCACGCATTGAAACCATAGTATTTAAGGTACCACAATAGTCATTATGTAATAGCAATGACCTAAGGAATGCCTACCATCAGATTCCCATAAAGTCAGAAGAAAAATTCTTTGCTGCTTCACAGGGTAACAATCAATTATACCTTCCTTTTGGTGTTACAAATGGAGTATCAGCTTTCCAGAGGGTTATAGACGACATCATATGGGAGAAGCATCTAACTCGAATATTCGATTAATAAATTTTAGTATAGTCTATAGAAAATTAAACCTTCTTAATCAAGACTTTATTAAGCGAAAAACATTACAAACTGTTACAATCTCTATTTTAATAATTAAACTTATTATGCGATAATAGGCTAATTGCAATGCAATAGAGTTATCTCCAAGAATGATTAAATTAAATTTATTTTTTAATTGATAATCCTACCACATTTATGAAAGAAGTTAGATTTTAGTATTCAGCTGAAAAAGTTGAAATAGGAGTTTTTTATTCTGTGAACTGATAGGCTAATATGTCCCACTGTGAATGAGATAGCTTACTATAGCTACTTTAGAACCTGAATATGATCTCTACAAGGATTGGCAGAAACATTGACAAATTTAATCAATAAATAGCTAAATTTGTAGTTTTTAGTATGTACTTGAGTTTATTTTGAATTTGAAATCACCTGGTGATTTCACTTGAAAATTTTTATATCAAGACTAAACAGAAGTTATCTCAATATAAAAATGTTTTAGCCAGCTTGGTAATTTCATATTCAAAATAAACCCTCGTACATAGTAACCCCCTAGTCCTTAAGTAACTCCGGTTGGGGTATATTATTCATGGTAATTATATGTATTATAATATGAGTATATACTTTCTACAAAAAGATAATAAAATTATAACACCACCGTTACGTAACTTTACCACCACCCAACTGACTATAATGACGAGCCAAATTCACAAGATAGAATAAAATATTCGGCAGAACAAGTTTTAACAAACAAACAAATATTTACCAAGAACTATCTTATCCTTCAGCTCTAGATTTTATCCTCTTTTCTCTCTCCATAAGACGCTTTTCCCTTTCATAATCTTTTGCTCTATCAACGTTTCTAAAAATTAAATAAATAACAGATATTAATAAATTGAATCAAAATTAAAAACAAAGAAATACATTGTACTCACTCCTTATATTCACACTCTAAATAATGATGTTTTTCATGGTGACATTTCACCACTAAAGGATAGTTTTTACTTCGACATGCTAAAAAATCTAAAAGTAAATGGGCACAATAATCTCTTTTATCCAAAGGAATTTTGGCAGAATACATTTCATCCTCTGTTGCTTTCATCACTGAAATAAAAAAAGCAAAATATAAAGATGAATCATCAAATTAACCTCCCTGAATCAAAAATCTTATAAAAGAGGCAAAATAGACTGACTGAGGAACCTACGTAGCTCAAAACAAAAGAGTAATAAATAGGACTAAGATTAATTTAATTAAATATGAGGCTAAATTTGTTTAATTCTATTTAATTAAATATGAGGCTAAATTCGTTTAATCATATTTAATTAAATATGAGGCTAAATTTGATTAAATCAGCATACTTGTGCAAGAACTCAAGACCTTAGACTTTATTTTATCTATCCTTCTTCTCCCTGGTATATTTGAAGTAAAATGGATATTGAGGAAACATTTTTATTCCAATAAACAAAGCTCTATACTTATGTATAGACATGTTGAAGTAACAGTGAAATTTGCTTTTTTTTTTTTTTTTTTTTTACCTTGCTTGGCAAAACAAATTAAAAAATTACATTTAAACTAACAATTACGGCCATAAGATTGACTACTTGAACAAATATATAATGCTTTTAAAAATATTGTTAGTGAAATTATCACTACTGTTAGTGCAAAATGTTGTTTGTGAAAATTGACTTTTTTTACAAAAGAGCAAAAAACTAATTATTTCTAAATGATTTATGAGTATAATTTCATATTTTATTTCTCTCTATTATTTTCCATAGTATTAGACTGATTATAGGAGTTTCATACTACAAAATGTCACTTTTAGCACATATAGAATAAAATTAAAAATTGTTATATACAACCTTTTGCATTACACATTTTTACTTTCACTTACGTGTATACGAAATATATAGTAATTGTAAATATTGCGATCGTGAAAATTTTCGAGTCTAAGTTTTCAACAGAAATACACGTTTTGAGGTACCCTGAGTCCAAATAACCAAGACTCGAAAAATGGTCTGTGTGCCTGTGTATGTTAGCAGTCTAGCTCAAAAATCAAAAGTCGTATGAAACTGATATTACGTATTTAAGATAGGTATATGCCTTAGATGTAACAGCAACTTTTTTCTTAAAATAGGCTAACCAGGAGTGCCACTTTATATCGACGCTAAAATACATTTTTATCATTTTCTCAAAAGCGGCTCTAACGATTTTGATTTTAAACACGGTGTATCATTGTATAATGAAGTGGTCTTTAATATCAATCAGGTCTTATCCCCATTGATGTCATTTCACAGGGCTTAAATGCCCAATGTTCATATACAGCTTCTTCTAAAGTACCTTTAATATGGTTTATTTTAAATAATTAATCATCTCACATTATTAAAAGTTACGAAAAAATGCTAAATACAAGTATGAGCTAAATATATAACTTTTGAAAGAATTTGATAATTGAATAAAGGAGAAAAAAAAAATGCTTATCCAGGTCGAAAATGAATCTCTGGAAATATTAGTCAGAAGGTATACGTATAATATATTGTTGGAAAGTTTTAGAAAACACAATGTCTAATATAAAAAATTGTAAAAGGTAACGGAGAGCTGCGAAAGAATTATAAATAATATATTTTTTTAACTAAAATCAATCCTCCACTGTTCCCATCACCTCTATGCCGATGATTCCCAAATTTACACTTCCTTCCCTTGTCATTTGTTCCGAACCCCTCCTCAAATCCAATACCAACATTCCTATTCTTCATCTAAATAACCATCCCATCATCTTCAGCACCTCAGTTAAAAACCAAGGCATTTTCATTGACCAAACCCTCTCCTGAAATCACCATATTGCCCACATTTCTCAGCGGTCAATTTGTACTCTTAAACTATTCGATCGCTTCCGCCATCTCCTTCCTATACCCACACGTAGACCCCTAGTATCCTCCCTCATCTTCCCCCACCTTGACTATGGCTGTGTGGTGTACGCCAGCCATTTGGGGACTGACTAAAAAGAATTATGAATAGCTTAATAAGATTTGTCGAAGGGACCCCAGAGACGTTCCCATGTTTCTCACTACTATGCCCAGTTAGGGTGGCTCTTTCCTTCCTTCAGAAAACAATACTTCCTTGGCACATTCCTTTATCAAATAATCAACAACCATCGCCCGTCCTATGTATACAATCTCCTCCAATTTAAATCATCTGTCCACTCCCTCTCCACAAGATCTCAGACTTCTGACCTTTACGCCCCTTTCCATAGCTCTGCTTCATTTCAACATTCCTTTATTGTCCGCTCCTCCACCTTTTGGAATTTCATCCCACTTAAAATCCACCATGCACCATCTTCATCCACATTCAAAACCCTCTTATTCCAATTCCTCTTCACAACCCAATCAGACGCTGGTTAATTATGTATCATGCAACAAGGATAATTTTTTCTTTTTTTTTATTTATTTTTTTTCATACACCACTATTTAATTTTATTTTTTGTTTATTATTTGTGAACTGGAAAGATTCAGTATCACTTTTGGCATAACACTGTAAGGTGATGCATAAAAAGTAAGAGATTGTTCATTGTTTTTATCCATTTTTCTTTTTTCTATCTACAAGATTGTGTATATTTTAGACGTATTTCATTTCTTACATTCCTCAATTTGTATACATATATATCTTTCTATTGCTTTTTTTTTTATACAGGTAATTCTTTTTTTGTCCTTTTCTTTTTGTTATTTTTTTCCAGTAAAATTATAAGTATAATTGAGAAGATTTTATTTTATATTTTAGTAATTTACATACTATTATTTAATTGTATATATTGTTTAAATATTTATTGAGTTAGTTTTTGGCCAGATGTGTATTTTTTTTCTTTTGTAACTGTATATTATTTCATAGTACTTATGTGAAAGAAGAAGTCAAATATGAAAACATTTCATGTATATATTTATCACCTCAAATATATTTACAATATAGTATTGACTCTAGATAGGATATTGTATTTAAATAATTAGGTATCTATCGGCCATTTATTCCAAAAAATCATCAAGTAAACTTTTAGAAAATTAAATTAGTGAATAATTTGATGAATTTTCCCTTTGTGAAATCCTAACATTATCCACTTACAATTAGTGAGACAACTTTTGACCTATCCATGGCAAGGCAATGGAAATCTCGTAATTTTGTTTTAGTAAACTTTACAATGGAAAATAACAGCCTAATAATTAATAGTTAGTGTTGCCCAAATGCGAGACCGAGACGAGTCTTGGTCTTGTAACAGATAGGAGGTGTTGGTCTTGATCTTGCAAAGTGCAGGACCAAGACCGATTTTGGGCAACACTACTAATAGTCCTACAATCCATAATCATTTAGAGATTAAATATTCAGATGTACTTTCAAACCTCTATAGGCATATATGAGCATATATTTTGGTTGACAGAATGACTAACTCCAATTTTAACATTTTTCATTATTAATTTTAGTGATGTTTCTAGTGGCTAAATTTATACCTTTATTCACAGTTCTATGTTTCAATATTGCAATCATCTCCAACGGAATCAAATTCCTCACTGTCTGCATAGATAACTTTTTCAACTAAAAATATCACTAAAATGACATTACTCAAAAATGTTGAAATCGGAGTTGCTTATTCTTTCAACTGAAAGGCTCAGAGACTGAAGTTGTGTAATTTATAAAAGCAGATGGAGTGACTAGATTTTTATTGCCTATCGTTGATATAATAAATAGATGTTTTGTAATTATAATGGTATTAATGACTTGTTATCTGTAAGCTTTAAGCTTTATCTCCGTTTAAAATGCACTTCAAAAATTTTATAATAGACCAGCATAGCCAGAAAATAATTTCTATTCAAAGCAGAGCGGTAAGTGAAAGTTGTGTGTTGCACGCACCAGATTTTTTATCTTAGAGTACAGTTAGGAGTTAATGCTATACCTTAGTGTACAAAATTATCAGTTGTAAATTACTTAATTTGAAATATAATTTATTAAAAAACTTGTGTCAGTCAGAAAAATATATAATATTCAAATATTTGGTGTAAATACTTTAAAAAGATAAAACAATTTTAAGAAATTTCAAGGATCACCTTTTTCTTTTCTTCCGTTTGGAAACCCAAAGTTAGGATCAAATTTTGAAGCCTGGTTGAAGGCAGGTACCTCATCAGGATGCAATTTGTAATTTATTCCAGTAGATATATTCCCCATTATTAATTTTAAGGAAACTGAAAAATAATAGAAATCGGGGAATATTAACCTTCTGAACTGTTATATGTCTCAGCTGTTCTTTGCTAGTCAAAGAGATAAGATGAATAAGCTTTTAATAAAATAATCTAATTTTCAATCTTATGTACAATTTACGAAACAATACTAACGCTTTTGGTTTTATTAAATATTTTAGAACAAAATTAATCCTTGCACGCTAGTATGTTAGTATTTTTAATAAAGCGGGATAATTATTTCATTCAAAGGTCATATAAGTAAATTCCTAACACAAGGCATATAAACTCAGCATTGCAAACCCTAACAAAAAATGATTTTTTCACTTCATTTTAAACTTGAGATTAAACAGGCAAAATTTAAATTCGTTTTGATACTGATTGGAAAGACTGTATGATAATGGTGAAGGATTTAAATGTCAGAAACTATTTTTTTAATAAAAGTGAAAATAGGATTCAGGTTAACTCACTGTGCAGAAGGAGCACGATCGAAAATGACTGAGAATAAATTATGTTGGTATAGGGTCCTGAACTTTATCTATGAAAAAGCTGCTCGCAATTCCCTCGAAAGTGAAAAACATTTTTTCTCAGCTCTCTTCCGTATCTCTCTAGACAACCATCTCCTCCAACAATTGACTTTGTTTTATTAACAGACAACGAAGAATTCATCAAGATTCTGAAAAGTATCTTTCCTGTCATAGATCTGTAACGGCGCAGCAGTAACTTTCTTTCTGGTATGTCTACCATGCCGTTACACAAATGACACACAAGATAGATAACTCCGAATAGCCAGCAAACTGTTTCATCCAGTTGGCCATGTGGAGAATTAGTTGAAACGGAAGAGCGATTGATCCCAGGAACACGAATTTATAAAATTCTGACTCTGGATGTCCTTTCAAAACTTTCTCTTCTAGATACTTTCCCAAATAATATATTATACATATATATATCATTGGTCAAACATTGCTCCATTTCGATTTGATTTTCAATTTATCTTTAATAATATTGAATAATAACACCTAGTAAAACAAGCTGCATTTAACAAGAAACTCCGTATTTAAATTTAAATTGTGCTACTTTACATTTACAGCTATAATTTAAGCTCTAGTTTCTCAGTCTGATACATTTTCAGATACGCGAATTAGGTAGTAATGTAAAAGTAAGCTTCGAGCTCATTTTATCAAGCCCTAAAGGCTAAAGGCTCGGCTCTAGACTTCGGAGTCTAGAACTTTTGGCCCTCGAATCCTCAAGACTTAGTAACCATTAATCATGCTGGAGTAACTCTTGTGAAAGTAGTACATCCTTCTTTTACAACCAATCGTATCATAATGAGACAATGACCCTCGAGATACAAACATCTTTTTGAATGTAGAAACAGTTCAAATTCAATATCAGTTGATGTTTTTGTATAAAATTTGGATCTCATATATTTAGATAAGAGCATTTAATGTGCATATAATATAAAATATAATAGATATCATTAAAAAACATATAAATTAAAATTATTTTGGACATGATTGACTTCAATGGTCATTACAGACATCGATTAGATTTTTTTCCAAAACGTCGTCGATATATTTTATCCTATCTCTATCTAATTTTTCCATTTCAAATCCCTTATCATTTATTTAAAAAATAAATTAGATGAATATTTTTTTACAAAAAAGAAGGAAAATATTCAAATCTCTTTCCGAAATTTAAACAACAAATTGGAAACGAAATTTAATTTTAAAAAAGTCTGAATTGAAATAATAATTCAACAGTTACCGAATAATTAAAAAAATTATCGACTCATTAAATATCAGTTTACAAATAACAGATTTTGATTGATAATTTGATTTTTCCCCAAGACATAAACAAGAAAAAAATAACCAGTAGAGACAAAATATAAGCTTACAACTGATGATATTATCTAGATTTTTTTCCCCTCAAAACTTCCCCTGTATCCACAGTATCATTGATTATTTTCAGGTTTCCTATCCCATATCGTAGCTTTGATTGATTAAAAATTTGATGAAAATCTTCGGTAAAATATTGAATAAATAGATTTTAGCAAAGATAGCTTTCGCAGGTGACAGTAAACCATAAAAATTAATTTTCTATTTGTATTGTAACATAAATGGGCTAAAATGTAGGATATAGAGTTATTATTACTTCATAAATTATCTAATTGAGAAAAGAATCGGCCACGACGTACATATCTCTTTCCTATATAGCAGGCTTACCCAAATCAACTGTATCTGTTGTGTATTAGTAAACTACCAAAATGGCGGACGAGGCAGGGAGTAGGTTTAAGATTTTGCATTTTTCTCATATTTCAGTTGTACAAATTGAATTTTGTTTCGTAGTGGTGACTACTAAATTATATATCATTTAATACATCATTATTTCCAGTTCAAGTTATTGCTTGTTTACTTATTTCTAGGAAAAACATGAACCATTAGCAGGTGTATTTTGTATTTTCTGGTGATTGATTATTATTTGTATGATTATTAGGCGTTGGTGACACATGTATAAAGGAAAAAAAAGAAGATCTAAAGGAAGATAACTGCAATGGAGAATTGGATAAGGAGGAAGAAGGCACAAGTAAGAGAATTACAAGCTATTGATTACCATTGTGCATATCAATATTTTACTTTCTAATGTACTTCGTTGTTTTTACTTGTTTCAGAAAGTGTAATAGCTTCAAAGTGTACAAATATCAATGTTTCTCAATCATCTAATAGTTTTCGCCTTAAGTCAAGTAAATTAGATTCTAGTGAGTCATTTATACTGTTTCTTATTTGACCTGCAGTTTTAAGAATGTTATTATTACATTATATCAATCTTTTCTAGGTATAGGAGACGTATGTTCAACCCCTAGCAAACCATTTATATTGAATCCTCCACGGCTATCGAATCATTCATTACATCCAGGTATAGTTTATTTAATATAACCTTAGAGATTTTAAACTTGAATGATTGCGTGACTGATAGTTCTCATAGTTGTTTTTTGTCAAGAATTTGGTTTATCGTTGTGTCATTATTACACTGTATGGTATTTATATGTACAATGTAAATTGACTGGACTTTTTTTTTTGTTTATGTAATTATTTAAATCAATTTAATTTCTCTTTGCTGAGATAGTTGCAAGTACAGAACTAAAACATTATGTTTATTTTATATTCTATTGATCAATGACATAACAATCATATTTTTTTTTTGCTATCAAAATTATTTAGATGAAGGCTCCAAAAGCATTAATTAGTTTTTAGTATGTTTTTCTAACAACAGAATAATTGTCCAGGATGCATCCTGCTGACATAATACGTAAAATCAGTATTTGATACAATTTCATTATTACTATTCGAGATATCAATATCTATTGCTAAGATAAACTGAAGTATTTACGTTCTTTACTTTATTTACATTCCTGCAGTGCCAGATGGAATGCCTTGAAGAAGACATACAACATACGTCGAAACATTTGATAATTCAATAAATATATATTGACCGCACCCCCGACTAACTTCTGATATTATACTTTAAGCTAATAAACAGAAATATTGTGAGATGATTTTCCCAAAAGTTGGAGCCTCTTAAATCTGCTAAGCTGTAAAGTAATCTAAATTCTTAATTTAACTTTGTACTGATGCAATAGATAAAATTTTCGTTTGAGTATACCCACAGGTCAAAACGTTACGACAGTAGCTGGAAGGCCACTTGGAAGCTGCCCTGGATGGTTATAGTTGATACTGAGAGACATGTGAACTATCGTCGTTTCAGGCAAAATGTTTCTATACCAAAGACAGGAAAATAAAATATTTATTTTAAAGAGTTAGTCAAGTGCTAAGAAACAATATCTTCTTATATGCTTGCAAGAGACATATTGTATTATATAAAATTTGAAGTAGAAGTGCATAACAATTTTATGTGTACTGTAGATTAGGTATTTAATATGTAATTTTAAATTAGCCAGTCATTCTTGCAGTAAATTAGGTCAGCTTGTTTTAGGTTTGATTTATCTGAAGTATGTATTCCCTCCTGAACAGGATCATTTTGTTTTTCATAACTGTTTACACACAACTCTATTATTCCGGAATATTTTTTTTCTGCTGAACGGTGTTGAAAGTTTCCTTTAGAAATTCTAACATGTATGAGTCGATTTAATGTGTTAAATTTGGCTGTCTATTTATTATTTACAGATTTAGGTTTTCACCCTCCTTCTGGTTTGTTATCTTCTGGTAAAAAATACTTAGTAGTAATTAATTTTCATTACGTTCTTTGATTTGCTAAACCAGTATTGTTATTATTTATTCAATTTTTTTTTTTTTTTTTTTTTGCAGGAAAGGATGGAAAAGATGAACCAAAGTTTGGAGAGTCTTTATTTTCAACTCCTAAAAGTAATCAGGTAAGGAATTTATTGATTGACGATTTTCATTTATTTTATACTTATTTATATATTTAAAATGGAACATACCAACTTTGTAACTACTGAAGTACAGTTTTGACTACTTGATCTTGAAATTAAAATCAATCTTTTTTAGGAACGTAAACATACTTAGCATGTCTCTTACATGGTTTTTTGTTGACAGATATTTATAATACCTATTACAAATAAGTACATTTTAACATTAAAATATATTTTTAATTCAAATATTTTATATATTTTCATATGCATCACTGTAAATGCAATGAATTTGTCTAAAATTAATAATTTAAGATTATGTTTGTATGTTAATTATAAAATTGCACATTAATGTATGATTGAATCACTTATAACGGTTGTAGCAGTAGTTAGTAATTCTTTGCATGATAGTACCTGTAAAAATTTCACTCGTCACTTTTATTGGACCTTGTTAGCTAGAGTAAAAAAATGTAAACATTTTCTCAAGTTACGGGTTTAAAACATTTCAATTTTCTTTTCTTTCTCTTTAGTTTTAATTATTTCATCATGCTAAAAGTGTAATGATAAAGTATTTAAATTAAATATTTTTGAGATGGGTATTGGCACCACCGAAGTGGTTAGTGAGTTTGGAGAAACAGCCACTGAAACAAGATAGATATTGAAGCACTAGAGGATCAAATAATTGAAAACCCCACTTTGCACGAATTGCAGAAGTATTGATCATCTGCTATCTATAAGTAGAATATGATTAAACTCTGTTTATTAAAAATGTCATTTTATGAATAATACTACTCAGTGGACTCATCCTTAACCACCTTTAGAATATACAGGTCTCTCACCTACAAGTCGGCAGGAGATTTTAGGGGGTTACGTCCCTCCTGTTGTGAGAGGCAATTATAAAGGGCTTAGGATACTGCTCCTGGGTGGTATTTTCTCTGGCAAAGAAATGCTATCAAAGCAGTAGAAGGCCTAAGCCCCTGGCTGGCGAGACTGCTTGTCCCGGGAGGATCTAATCTATGTTTCTGGTAGTCTCTACAGAGTTCATAGATGGCAGTAGTTTGACCAAATGTCACTTTTAGATGACAAATAGCTGGTTGAAAGGCCTCGTGCTGATTTCGGCCAGTTGGATTCCGTAACCCCAACGGCTCACCGTCTGGCTAAAATGCTTTGCAGATTCCAGGAAATGAGATTTCCTATCAGATATCTTGGTATAGACCATCCTGTGGTCTAATCCAGACTAGATGGTCCCTTTGGGACTCACAATGTTTTGAGCCACCGAACCTGGGTGCTGACGCCTAGCTTTAGAGGAACGACTTGGAGGATTGGGGAAAACGGTAACCCCAGCATGTCTAGACAGTACCTGGAGAACAGGAGCTCAGGTCGCCTGGCATATTCACTTTGTTGTTACGTGTAACAACGAAGAGGCGATTGTCTTAAGCATCTCTGGCGTTGAGTACTAGTTTTAAATACCTCTGGTTCTAAGTTTTAAGAAGGGTATGAATGTACTCTGTTGATTATAAATGTTATTTTATTAATAATACTTCGTTTATTTTAGATATATGAAAAACCAAGGTGGGTTTATTGCAAAAAGTCATTAAGTAACATTTTAATGAATTTGAGATAATCGAATTGGAAGTTTCTGATCCTTAAAAAAATATTAAAATAGCAATTTAATTATTTGCTGTTTATGATTTGCAATTCTAAATACATGTTCTATTTCTGACAATTAATTAACATCTTAACACATTCATAACAATGAAAAAATATATTATTTTTATGCATGTAATGATTTATTCTATCAATAATTATGATTGAAATTATCAACTATGTACCTTCAGGTTTAAATTGACAAAGGTGTAATTAATGACTTTTTGCAATAAACCGGCGATGTAATTGTTGAAGTGGGTTTGGTTAATGAATTTTTATCTTTAACTATTTGCTTTGCTTTGAATCAGATGTATATTAGTATGTGATACAGACCCCTTTTTATCAAATTACTAATATCTTCCTGAAATTTCGTATATAGCTTCATCTCACCGTAGCTTACAACTATTTTATTTACAAAAATTCTTGGAATTGGGGCATTTCCAATTTGGAGGTCGGCAAACTTTGTCTATTTAATTAGGTATTAAAAACTCGTAAATACCCGCTTTCCACATGGATCGTAAGATAATTTGATCACAAAATCAAGAAATAAGGTGGCCTACAAAAATATTGGGTTGTTTGGTCTACATTATCTCATTATTTTGACATTTTTGGGCTATAGGTCACGCCAAACGGCTCAATATTTTTGAATGCCACCTTTTTTCTCGATTTTTTGCTCAAATTGTCTTAAGATCCATGTAGTAAGCAAATGGATATTTATGAGCTTTTAGTATCTAATTTAATAGACAAAGTTTGCCGATCTCCAGTTTGGTAACGCCCCAATTCCAAGAATTTTTGTAAATAAAATAGTCGTCAGTTACGATGAAATGAAACTTTTACAAAGTTTCAGGAAGATGTTAATAATTTGATAAAAAGAGGTCAGTACCACGGACTATGTATATTGTAATTGTTTCCCACTATCTCATGGTTTTGTTTTGTATGATTATGATTTTTATACTTTTATTCAGTGTATCCATTTTGTTACACATTAGTTTTATTAGAAATAAATTAAATTAGTGTTATTTTTTGAACTCTGAAATAACTTCAAATAATAAGAATACTAAATTAAATGTGTAGTTAACTGGTACTCTTAATGTATTTGATCTTCTTGTTATCAGGACAGTAAGATAGTTACACCTTTAACTAAGACAAGCTTGTCATTTCTACCTCTTGGAAGTGAAAATACTACAACTCCTTCCCAGTCTACTTCATTTTCCGCAACATCGTCTCCCTCTCTTGGATTTGTATTTGGTCAAAACATCCATGAAAAAGTTGTAAGTTGTAAATTTTATTACAATATGTGATAATTGATGTTCCTTATATAATTAAACATTCTGATTTTATTGTGCATTTTAATTTAAATCTAGGAAGCAGCAGTGCCAATAGAAAGCGCAACGCCTTCTACTGACAAGCCATCATCTTCCGTATGTTAAAAATTCACTTATTTGCTTATAAATTTATTTTTAAAATGTTTATTATTTAAATAAGGCAAGCCATATTTTTCTGCTTTAGGAACAGCAAATAACTACCAATGGAACATCTTCTGAAATGCTCTTTTCTGCAAGGGTCACCAAGGAAAATGCTGATAAAGCTGCGGTAATATTTCAAATTTTTTTTTTCTTATTGTATTTTTTTTTAATGTTAATTATTGGTCTAATTCCTTTGTTTTTTGTTTCGGTCTTGGTAAAGCACAAATTAATTCTTTTTCTTATTATTGTACAAAATATTGGCTCCTATTTAAATTTATTGTGCTACTTATTAACTCATCCTTCTTCGGTCCGAATATTCTACGCAATACTTCATTTTCAAAAACCTTAAGACGCTGCTCATCCCTTAATGTAAGCGGCCAAGTTTCGCATCCATAAAGAACTGTAGGCAAGATAACTTATTGCATTGGGGTTTCTAATAAACATAAACAACTTCATTGAACTTTGTATTTATTGGTCTCTATAGCAAGAAGGAATTCTCTTAAAATGATTTAGTCAGGTCTGTTGGTTTGGACCTTCATCTGTGCCTTAATTTTGGACTTCAGGACATAGTTCGAATAAAACTTGAAGATTTGTTTTTTTGTAAATAAGTCTTTATCAGGTTTGCATGAATTCTTGAATATCCTCTAATTGACATCCAATATTTTTATTTAATTGGTCTTAAGTCAAAGTATTGTAAGATCAATCAGTTTTATATGTTGTCGATTTAGTAATTAAAATTATCTTCAAATGTGTATAAAAATATTGTAAAATAGATTTGTCAACTTATGGAGTTAACTGGATATTTTTTTAATAAAAGGATCTTTGTTTTTCCTATTTCCTATTTCTCAACTAATTTATCATAGGGTCGTTATACTTGAGAGAAATTTTATAAAAAACAAAGGTAATTTCTAATTTAATTTTGTTATCAAATAAATGTAGCTTATTTTTTTTATTGCTTCTGTTTCTGATCATACAAGAAACATATATTTTTTTTTTTTATATTGTTTATTTATCATCTTGGCAATCTTAGAACCCTATTCAAAAATTCTTTCTTCTTTTTTAATTAAGAATTTACTCATTTCTTGATTTTGTTTTATTTATTTAATGATGAAAAAGGCACAATGTAAAGAGATTTGCCACTTCCAATTGATAATTTTGGATTCCCTGTTCTGTTTGGTCTTTCCCTCAAGCTTCTTATTCCTTAGGCTACTTCCATATTAGTTTATATTGATCTTACACGTTTCAATATACTTTTGCCTAAAAATATAAAAACCCGATATACATTTTTATTTGTCTATTAATTCAAGCATTGTGTTATTTAGATATTCTAGAGAATATTTAGATTATTATTAAAGAATATTTATGTATCTTTCTTCCGTAAAAATTTTTTTAAATGATTTTTTTTTTAATTTTAGGAAACTTCAAAAAGCTTAAGTGAAGCAGCAAGGGAATATGAAGAAGCTCGAGCACAAAAAAGGAGATATGAGGAAGTACCTGTTTTAACAGGTGAAGAAGAGGAAGCAAATGTCTTACAGGTAATTTTATTTCTGTAATTGGAGAGTGGAGTAACTTGAGTATACTGAACTCAAGCTAAAAAATCAATATGGCTATGGTTAATAATTATTTGTTTTTTTTTTATATCAGCTGTGCAAAACCCTGGGTTCTGGGTATCTTTTCTCTATAAAATAGGTTTGGTTACCCTTAAATAGGGAAAACCCTGGTGGTTGAGTATTGTCCTGGCCTGATCACCTCCTTGTGCAACTATCTTTCCTGAAACTACATACTGTTTACCCTCTTACACAAACAAATAAAAACAAAAATCAAGAAACATGGCAGTGAAGGAGGTCTACAAAATGTTTTTATTTTGTAAAGAAAAAATCAATAAAAAAAAACATATGGCAGAAAAACTAATATCTGTTGAAATCTCAAGTAACACTAAAGCTTATGTAGTATTGTCTGTAAGCTTTCTTGATTTGTCTTAAAAAACTGACAGCAAATAATTCATTATCTGTCAAACGGACATAAACACTAACCTAGAAAAACGTCCCTTTTACACCTTTGTGTTTTTCATGGTTTGGGAAATGTGTGTGAACACGGCTTTAGTGGTGTAGGATTTTTGTTATAAAGTTTTCAACTATCTTCCAAAAATAATATTTACCTCTTCATTGCTACATCAATTGTTCCAAATTATTTCCATAATTTGGCTATCTTACAAATATAATCTTTCTTCTAAACCATGCCTTAAACCTAAAGTTAGATAATTTCAGGATAACTCCACCAATTCACACGAAAATGATTTTGAATTTTGAGCTCTATATGCTACACAAAATGGTACACATACAATCTCAATAAATAAATTAGAATCAAAGATATAAAATAAAAATGATTGAGAAGTTTTTCTTAATTTCTAGCTTAAAAAGGAATTAAATCTAAAAGTTATTAATGTGGGCTGGAAGAGCAATAATTAAGTTTTCCAATGGTTGTACTAAGATTAAATTAGAAAAAAATCCTGAGAAATTATGAATGCTTTAGTTATTGACCAGAGAAACATTCCTCTAAGAAAATGAAGTACTAAAATTTGCAATTTTTGATTTCTATAAAGATTCATGTTTGATAGTTTTAAATTAAACAAAAAATAAATCGAACTTGCTTTTTTTTACAAGATTTTACTTGACTAACTTTGTTGGAAGTGTCATTTGGTGTTTGTAAATTATAACTCATTTAATACCATAGTAAAATTTTTTTTTATTTGAAAAAAAAAATGAAATCAATTTATATGTAATAACCTATGAATCTGAGCAAAGCAATACCAAAAATAAATAAAAACTGTTTGAAATTAGATTTTAAAAAAAATTCTGGACTACTCGGCCCATTGGAACAAATGCTGGGCTGGCTGGGATATGTGTCCTAATATTTTTCAATATAGAAACAGAGAAAAAAATATGGTTGAAATCTGTGACCCACTGACTATAAATATCCTTTTTGGTGTCACATGAGTTCACTCTTGTAAACCAGCTGTAGAAGTTCGACTATCAATCATGGAAACTACAAACTGTATTATCTATAAGATGGTGCTACAACCCTGTGATGGATCCTGGTCTCCTCTATAAGCCTCAGCCATTCGGCTCGTTTTTGGGCTGCTGCCTTCCACTTTCAGACTCTAAGCAGGTTTCTTGCGTTTTGTACCATGCCATCCATCCTCCGGAGCTTGGGCCATCTGACTCTTTTTCTCTTCTCTCATGGAGTTCCTTATTTGTTCTTCAGCCTTCTTAATCTCTTACCGGCCCATAGATCTTGAAGGATCTTTCTCTCGAAGAACACAAGATTATTTCTATCCTGTGTAGATAGTGTCCATGTCTGGGAGGAATATGTTAGGATAAGGCTGACGAGTGTTTTATATAAATGGACCTTTGTTTTCCTGCTAATCAGCTTGCTCCGGAACTGTTTCAACAGACCAAAATAGCATCAGTTAGCCGCTGTGATCCTTTGATTCAATGGAAACATTATTTGTTGCTGTGATCTGAGATCCAAGGTAAACAAACACTTCCACTCTCTCAAAGGTACAGCTTCCTACAACAACCTGTTTTTCTTGAGGACTGCCTCATATACATATATATTTTTTTTTTTTTTACTAATAGCCAGTCCCATGCATACAGCAGGTTTCTGTAGTCTTAAGAAAGACTCAGTTAGCGCAGTAGAGGATCATGCCACTGTATCAAGGTCATCCGCATAACCGAGCAGTTGGACCGATCTATTGAATATGGTTCCATTATTCTGGATACCTGTTTCTCTCACTACTTTTTCTAACACCAAATTAAATAGGATAAATGCCAAAGCATCTCCTTGCCTTATAGTCCTTTGTTTGAGGCAAATTTATTATTACGTATTAACTTTGAAGGAACCTTCATTTCTCTTAGTGCCTCATATAACATAATACGCTTGATACCGTCATATGCGTTCCTAAAATCCACGAACAAGTGGTGGGTAAACATTCCTATGTTCACAAATTGTATTAATTTTATTATTTAATCATTATTCACTGTTATTACTGTTATCATTAATACTCATTTACAAACATATTATTTACTGTCTTAATATGTTTAAATTGGTAAATTTTGATATTAGTAAATTTTTTTCCAGATTAATTGTAAGCTGTTTTCTTGGAGCAGTTGTAGTTGGACGGAGCGTGGTAGAGGTACTTTAAGAGTAAATGATTTACCCACATCTCCAGGAAGTCATCGGCTTATAGTGAGGACTACTGGAAGTTTAAGAGTTGTGTTAAACACCAAGGTTAGCTCCTTTCTTTCTTAATTTTCAGTTCATTATTAATGCATTTGTTTATTCCAAATGTCTACTTTTTACATAAATTAAATCTTTTTTTATTGTGATTTCAGATTTCATTTCAAGTAATTCTAATTACACTTGTTTTTGTTTTCTAAATTTTTTTTTTCTGTTATAGATTTGGGCAGGAATGACTGTTGATAGAGCCAGTGTAAAAAGTATGAGGATAACAGCAATGGATAGTAATGGTGTCCTTAAAGTGTTTTTAGTAATGGTAAGTTAATTATATATAGCTTTATATCATTTAATAAATTTCCAAATGGTAATTTTTTTCTGTTTTATTCTAATCAAACTAATATATAATTATCATTAAAGGTACCTGTGTAACTATGTATCCAGAGCATTATGTAGTCATCTCTGGTTCAAATCCCAGGCCAACTATTTCCCAGTTCGGCTTGTAAATTTACGTACTAATAACCTTTCAGTGGCATTGGTTATTTACTGTCCTAAATTGAAATTTAAATAAATTTATTTCCCCGAGTAAATTATTCAAAACAAAGCCCTAAGCACTGGAACTTTTGTGGTTGTGAACTGAATTTGGGACAAAATGAGAATGGATTGGTTTGTTAAACTGAATAATGAATGTTTAAAATAAATAAAAAAATCAATATTTAGAATATTCTGCGATCTTTCTGCAAGGACACATTTTTCTCATCGGTGCCCATTCAATTATTAATGCTCAATATCTTATAGTAGCTTTCAGGTGGATCTTTTTTATTGTATTTTTTTAGCATTGCTCCCTATTTTTTTCTTGATTACCCTCTAGCTCACCATTTATGACATGCGAGTCATGGTTCTAGAGTAGAAGTATCCAAATTACAGGATTACGGATCCGTCAAAAACCTCCAGACCGTCTCAGGAAAGTTTTTTTGATTTACATGGTAAAATTTTTAGGACTATTGAAAAAATATGAAATGAGTAAATCACTGGAAACAGGAGGTTTAGCGAACATTTATTGCACGAGTTGTTTCTCTTATAAAGCTCATTTCGCAGCTGAAGGGTCATTTATTTATCACAAACCTTGGCCAGCAAGACTTAGCGGAAGCTTCAATGCATCCCACAGGACTTTATGTAGGTCTTAATGTAGTCCGCAGGCCAAAAATGTACTGTACGTTGCATGGTTATAAACATATTCTAACCAGAGTGGGCAGATCAATATTCATTCCATGGGTCCTTTATGAAATAAATTTCAACCCACCCAAGCAGGATATGAACCCGGCTTCAAGAAAACTACTACAGTTTATAGATTCGAGAACACTAAAGTTATGTTTTATTATGCTTTTGCCCATCATAACCTCAGAGCACAGTTTATAAAATTTCTTGTTCCTAACAATTTTTTTGTTCTCCTTCCTTACCTTTTAGGCTACATGGAGATTTTCCCATTCCGGGGGAGGGAGCCGGAGAATTATGCAAGTTAAAATTCTCTCCCGGTACCAGGATTTGAACTCTCAATATTTTTCCATCTAACTTCGGTTATCAGGTTGGCATTATTCATCAACCAATGTCCATGCTCTCCAAAATGGAAATGTGCCAAGTTCCATCTGGTTCACTTCTTGAGATCATGAATCCAGTTGTCATTTACTAAAAAGTGGACAAGTGAGTGAACAAACCAAAGATAGTTGCTCTTTTATATTAAAATTTAATTTTTGAAAATATAAAATAACATAATTTGTTCAGAGGTCTTGTTATATGGGGAGCAATTTTCTTGGAGGATAGAGGGTGCATTTAATGACTGAAATAAGGATAAGTTTTCTATAGACATCCTCCATAACAATAATCATTATTTAATGAAAATAAAAATTATGAGCTATAATGGATGAATGGCTATTTTCCCTTTAGGGAAAATTGGTTCCCTCCTCCACTATAAGGGGATCCTACATGGTCATTCGAAATTGCATTCCAAGGCACCAATGACGTTCCGAATGATCGTGTGAGGTAGTGAATGAAGTACTGATGGAGGTGTCTGGCGGACTTCCGGAAATCAAACGTTTATTCACGAGAAGTGGAGGGGAGACTGAGGTAAAAGTAGTGGGGAGACTAACCATACTACTAGATAGGTTAGTTTACCTAGCCCTGACAACCATATATATTCCTGATTTTAATTAAAAGTAAATAGTTAAATAGTTTCTCATATCCCTTATTTATATTTTATAAACCATCTTCAACAATTTTTTTTTAATAGTGAAGTGGGCAAGAAATTAAAAAAAAAAAGTGAAAACTTCACAATTTACTTATAGAAAAAAAATATCTGTAACTGTTGTGTTTATTTGTCATTAATTTGTCCATTTTTCTTAAGAAATTGATTATTTTCGCAATACTTTTCCTAAATTTTTGTAAGTAGTTGACTTATATTTTTCTAACTTTAGTCTAGACGATTTTCTAGGAAGTAATTATTATATCTCCATTTTTCTCTTGATGTCCAATACCATAAAGGACAATGTCCAAATAAGCTTTTTAAATTAAACACATCATTATAAATGGATAATCCACCAGCTCCATGCTGCCTGTTATCTCAATGTTAACTGAGCTAAAACGGTAAGTAATGATTGAACATGTAGAGGTCATCATGATCAAAGCGATCCCGAGCAATCTTTGTCATTGTTGTGACTTGCATTCACGAATGATTGTGTAAGGATTGCTATAGACACTCACTACTAATGAAATTTCAGCCTCTTGAGTAGTTTATATAAATACATGTAGTAATATATATATATATATATAAACTTAATTGATTATGTTTTAAATTTTAATTTATTTATGTTTTCCAGGCCAGTCCAAAAGAAATGGACCAACTCCAAAAATGTTTAGAATGGCGAGTAAGTAATTTGAAAAAAAGTGAAGAAGGACCTCCCAAAAAACTAAAACCTGATGACAGCTAGTAAATAATGAATTAATAAACTAGAATATTTTATAATGTGATAAAACTGAAGCTCCCTCTTTTAGTTCTGGACATTGCTTGTATTTTTTTGTTCTGTTTTGTGTTTTCAATCGAAAATGTGATATTTTGTTTCAAAACCTGTAGTTTTTATTTGATAATATTTAATATGGCATACATATCCTATTTAATGGATCATTCAATTGATGTGGATTTAATTTAATTGTAAATACCTTTACTCCACTCTGTTACCAACAAATAAAAACTGATTTATGAACTAACCATTTGTAAAAGAAAAGTTACATCAGTTGTGAAATTCAGCTTAATTTCTATCCTCATTGTTATCCTTTAATCCATTCTTTTTTATATAATTATTTGTATTCAGTTATTCTTATTTAATATTAGAATGAATGGAAGTAATTGTTTGAGAGAAATTTTTCCTTTATTTATCGGGCTAAGAGGAAGTACCACTCTTCCTCTTCCCCTTCTCCCATAAAAAAAGGATTAAAAAATTTAAATATTGGTATGTTTAAACATTTATTAGTATAAGTATGGATGAATAGCCCTTTTAATTTTTGTTAATAGTAGGAGTAATATAAATGAAACAAATATTTAAATAACATATTGTCGCAATTATATTGTTTGTTTTTTTCATTCCTTTGATCTACAATAATTTAAAAATAAATCTTTCTCATATCATAAGTCTATGTTGAAAATACCATAACTCTGTTATCACCTATCACAGTGCATGAAATGTAAATAGTATCTGAAGTGTATTGGCTAACCACCTTTGCAACATGTGGGATGTATTTCTAAATGAAATCACAGCTTATGATGGATGAATGGTGATGCATAATCTTCTAGGATGTCAGATATATACCTTTGCACTAAGTTAATTACTGCACAGTAATGCTCTGTCAATAACAGATTCAGCTTCTGAAGTTATCAGAAACCATTACCATCCTGCTCCTTACAGGAACTATTCGAGATACTGCACTGTGTAGAATGCTGTCCTTGCCTTCTCAACACTATCTCTGCATAATGAAAATCTGGAGGCATCTAAAAACTTTACTCCACCTGTCTTTCATGGTCCAAGCTGTTCATTATAAGTTAAACTCCAGTATCTATATGTGGGATTTAGATTGATGGACAACTTCAGCAAGCTGCATCTGTAGGTACCCATTCTGATAGTTACTTTTTTAATAATAATAGAAAATAACTTTATTCTGGGACAAAGTCCCTTTAGAATAACAAACTAGAACATAATTAAAATACTACATCTGGCCAAAATAAAACAATAATAAAAAAGAGAAAGTAAAGAAAATATTAGTTAAACAAGCTATATACAAAAAAAAAAATCTATACAAAACACTTAACTATGATAAAACATTTAAGACTATGTACAGTAGGAAAAATTATAATTATACTCTTGAAAAATAAAAAATACATTGAGTTCTTTAAAATGAGGTGTGCTAACAAAGAAAAAACAAAGCTGACAATATAAAATATCAGCGTCTTTAAATAATGATTAATATGTAGACTCATCATTGTCAAATGCTAGAGGTACAGATTTAATTATATACCAATACAAAATAATAATAAAAATAAAAAATGAAACAATAGATGCGGTCAGTGGCATTAAGAGCCGGAAAATATTGTAACATCCCTAGTGAAGTTCACAGTATAGAATAGCACTATCGTTTGATGATGACTAGAAATGTATAATATCGAAAGTTTAGCAAGTATCTGACTGTTTTTGGAATAGGAGGGATTTGAATGTGGATATGGAGGGGGAATGCCGAATTTTGGTAGGTAGAGAATTCCAGAAATTGACAGCGTGAGCTATAAAGGAATTCTGAAATGAGGCAGATCTGTGCGAAGGGATGTAGAGGTCAGAAGGTCGAGATCTTGTTGAAAGGGAATGGACTGAGGACTTGAATTGGAGAAGGTTGTAGGCGTAAGAAGGACGATGGTTGTTAATGATTTGATAGAGGAACGTACCTAGGAAATATTGTCTTATAAAGGAGGGGAAGAGCCACCTTAACTCAGTGTAGTGGTGAGAGACATGGGAGTACCTCGGGGCACCGATAACAAATCTTACGCAGCTATTCATTAATCTTTTCAGTCTATCACAGAGCTCCACCGGGAGGCCATCATACACCACACAGCTGTAGTCAAAGTGGGGGAAGATGAGAGAGGAAATTAGGAGTCTACGGGTATGTTGAGGTAGGAGATGGCGGAAGTGATGAAATAGTTTAAGGGTAGAAATTGTCCTACGGGAAATGTGAGAAATATGGTAGTTCCAGGAGAGGATTTGATCTATGAATAATCCTAAATTTTTAACAGAGGAGTAGAAGGAAATTGGCTGGTCATTAAGGTGTAATATGGGAAAGTCAGTATGGGATCTAATAAGGGGCTTGGAACCAATGACAATGGCTTGAGTTTTGGCAGCATTTAACTTTAATCCATTTACATTTGCCCAGGCACTGATTCGATCAAGGTCTTCTTGAATCTTGGCAAATGCCCCCAATAACTCAGAGGGAGAAAAGGATAGGTAGATCTGGGAATCATCTGCATAAAGGTGGTGGGAACAATGGAGAAATGAATTATGAAGGTCGTTAATGTAGGAGCTGAAAAGGAGAAGAGATATGCTTGAACCCTGGGCAACTCCGGAGGATAAAGGAAGATAGGCAGATAGTGGTTGAATGGGTATGGAGACTGCTTGGGTGCGTTGGGAGAGGAAAGATTGGAACCAAGAGATGGAACTATTGGAGAAAGATAATGATTTTAGTTTGTTGAAGAGGATGGAATGGTTGATGGAATCGAAGGCTTTGGAGAAGTCGAGGAGTATAAGGACAGTTAATTTTCTATCATCTATTGCAGATTGAATGTCGTTGGTAATTTTAATTAAGGCAGATTGTGTGGAATAGCCGAGACGGAAACCAGATTGGAGAGGATCAAATTGGTTGGACTTTTCGAGGAACTTGGAGAATTTGGATTGCACCAGTCTTTCGAGAGGCTTTGAGAGGTTAGAAAGGATTGAAATTGGACGGAAATCTTCGGGTGAGGATGGATTAGGCTTTTTATTTAAAGGAAGAACAATGGCTTTTTTCCAAGAGGTAGGGAATACTGAATTCTGAAGGGAGAAATTGTAGATAAAAAGGAGAGCTGGAAGGATTTCAGGGAGACATATTTTTATTAATTTGACAGGGATACCGTCTGGCCCTATGGAATTGGTGTGGGATTTCATTACCGCGGTTAACAGGTCTGTGGGAGAAATGTCGGAAAAATAAAAATTATTGTCGTTAAAGGATACCTCTGGAGAAAAGGTGGAAGAGGAAGGTAGAGAAGAGGTATTAGCGACAGATATAAAATAAGAGTTTAAATCGTCGGATGATACAGGAAAGGCTGCGGTAGGGGATCTGGAAGGATTACAAATGGAAAGTTTACGAAGCAGTAGCCATTTCGATTTGATATCAGGAGCTGAGGAAAGGGTTTCATGGAAATAGGAAGCTTTCGCACGCCGGATCCTTGTGTGTGCCAAGTTGCGAAGCACCCTGAACGCTTGGTAGTCTTCTGCGAGCCTAGTACGTCTAAAACGTCTTCTTGCAGCGTCGCGCCTCTTCTGCAGATCTTTGATTTCCTGACACATCCAAGGAGCAGGCCGGTGACGAAAGGTAGAGGTTTTGAGGGGAGCATGGGTATTGAGAAGATTGGTGGTAAGAATGTCAACCATGGAGTGGATAGAAGAGCAAACATATATTTCATTCCAATCTAGGGTTTCTAGGTCAGGTAATATTTTTTCTCGAGTAAGGGTATCTAGGTGACGGAAGGTGATAGTTCGAGGCTGGATTGAAGGAGTTCGGATATTATATGTTATTTGTATAAGATTGTGAGATGATAGGAATGATACTGGTAATTGAGAAGAGGAGAGGAGATTTTGTGCAGAGTCTATAATGTAGAAGTCTAGCCAAGTGTCGGACCTGCTGGTGTGGTGGGTGGGGGAAAATGGAACGATGAAGAGGTGCAGAGAGAAAATTAGGTTTTCTAGATAGGATTTGTCATTGGAGTTAGAGGAAATTGGTATTGAGGTCACCGGAGATGATTATTCTGGGATATAGAGGAACAAAGTTGAATAGGGTTGATTCAAAGGACTGATGAAATGGTACATGGGGAGGACGATATACCACAGTGTAAAGGAGAGGAAGATCCTTACAATGGATTTCTACTAGAAGATATTCAACTTGAGGATGATCGGATAGTGGTGAGGAATCGATGATTCGAGTCTTCAGGCTATTATGGACACACATGGCTACTCCTCCGCCATTCCGGCTTACCCGGTCATGACGGAGGAGGGTGTGATTAGGCAAGGAAGCAGAAGAGGATGGGATGTAAGGTTTAAGCCAAGTTTCAGAGATCGCGATAATATGATAAAAGTTTTGAGTGAAATATTGCAGGAACTCGTCATAGTGGGCAGGGAGGGATTGAGAGTTAACATGACAGGTGATTAGGGTACTAGACATGAGAGGAATTGGAAGGGAAACAGTCAGAGTTGGGTAGAGATACTCTAAAACAAATAGAAAATACGAAAAGGCGTTTACAATTAATGAAAATAGCAGAAAAGAAAGTGTAAGCTGAAACCAAAAAAAATAATAAAAAACATATGGTCAATAAAATATAAATTATTGTGTAAGTGCGAAGAGATATCTCTAAGCGTAGAAGTGAAAATATTCCTTTGTAGATAGTTGAGTTCAAAGTTATTTTAATGAGGATGAGGAGTAGACGAATTCTTCGTGGTCAGGCAAATATATCGAGGTCCGAGGCCTGTTCAATCAGAATAACTTTATGCCCGTCCTCCTTCCGACATCGCACCTTTCCGGCGGCAAACCACGTATATTTTATTTTCTCCGCAGCTCTCTTCTGTCGGGCAAGCCAATATAAGTGTCTGTTCGTGGGAGTCATTTCCTCACTCAGATATATCCGGTGACAGTCATTCTCCTGCCA